ATATATATATATTAGCCGTGAAAAAAAAAGAACCAATATGATCAATTGTGAGCCAAGTCGGTCTTTTCCCTTGTTAAATAAATGGTGTGGTTCTTAGTCAATATGCTTTTTATTGTTTCCGTAATCAGACACTGATAAAATCAGACTTAATTTGATTCAGAATATGAGTGAGACAACCATTGATCCATACATATTTTAAGGATCGAGTTTTCCAAAAAGAGTATTCGTGGAATGTTGTTTGGTCATAACTGTGCTGAAAAATATGGACGAAAAAGCTACAAATACTAAACACAGTTAGCAGTAAAGTAAATAAAATTAAAAAAGACACTGTTGGAAATAGTGACTGCACTTCATTTGGACTGAGTTTATTTTTTACATTATTTTTATTAGAAGGGAAGGAAAGATGATAAACAGAATCGTACAAATGAACCAGTTCTATTTATCTCCCTCGTCTATAAGTGTGTGTGTGTGTGTGTGTGTGTGTGTGTTTTTTCAAATAAAAACACGTGGCATATTTTACAGCAAATATAATGACGCGAGGGTGTCAAAGAGAAGCAAAAATATGCAAGACTCGTTCATCATTCAAAACATGCAAGAATCATTAAATTATGAAATACATCTCTATTTGTTGGAATAATCTATTCTTTTAAATAGAAGCACATCTAAAAATAAAGCTTTGTAATATTCTGTCATAAAAATATTTTGTAGTATATGTCAATGTGCTTATAGAGCATCTTTCCGAGACAAATTATTTTCAAATTATCTTTTTTGTCCCTTTAATCTGTCTCACATAAGAAAAGAAGGGAGCCAATGGGTTTCAGATGCTCAAGTAAATAAATAGAATAGAATAAAAGTAAAACTTTTCTCGGAGATAAAACTACTGCTCTGGGCCTTTTAGCCTTTCCTGTGGTAACGTAACGCTTTAAAACTGCATAATGTGTTTATTGGGTGGGTGAGCGTGTGTGCGCGCGCGCGGGCGTGTTTGCAGTCGTCACACACAGTGCGCGTGGTTCAGTGAAGGGTAAACAAGAAAGTTACTCTCCATTTTTACCTTTAAAATAGTGCTTTTTTTCCTCTCCTTTCGCAATGTAATGCTGCAAAAAGATATTCGCCACATAGACACCGGACGATCCAAGCAATTTATAGGCTGCAACTACACACAGCTCCTCATTTTGATTTTTAAAGTGTTTTTTTTTTTTTTTTAACAATGTAATCCGTCAGTAGTCGCCATGGGAGCACAAGACAAAACTGGCAAATGCAGCTATAAGTAGAGTCCTACATTTAGTCTTTTATTTATGCACTTATTTATTGACACGCATGCTGCAGACGGTTTTTGTGTGTGTGTGTGTGTGTGTGTGTGTGTGTGTGTGTGTGTGTGTGTGTGTGTGTGTGTGTACACACGTGTGCGTCAGTTTAGGGTGAAAGCATTTTAGCCGAAACCTTTGTGCATAAAGTCAATCAGATATTGTTCATTTTAACTCAGATGAATTTATTGTTCGTGTGTTGGATATCAAATAGTCTCAACATCGAGGAAAACAACTCCATTTGGAGTTGATTTTCAAAATCGTTCAGCCCTTTTATCTATCCATCGATAAATTGACACGAATTTGCAGCCATATTCAATAATACACGTGTACGTCGCAACGGTTGAGATTCGTGCACTGTGATTCGTACGCGTGTCCTTCCACTCCCTTCATCCTCATTTGAGCCATCATCAAGCCTCTTAATTGCATTTTAAGTGCATATTCCTCAAGTTAATTTCTTGTACGATTGCTTATCACTTCCCTCGCGAGGGACGGGAATGGAAAGTGGGGAAGGGAAGTGTGCACGTGTGTGTGTGTGTGTGGGGGGGGGGGGTACGTGTTGTATTTATCCAAGCGTCTGTTTTATTGCGCGCAGGACAATAAAGAATGTCGAATTAGAAGCCATCGTGCGTTTGTTTAAGTGCGCCAAGCATCATATCGCCCCGGCGCAATGAGGCTTCAAGTGCACAATGACATGTGGCGTCTTTGTGCTGCTTGCTGTTCTAACATGGACGTGCATGTGGCCTTGGCGTTTTTTTTTCCCTGCCGCCTCGTACGCCCTTCATTAATAAGGCTGGAGGTCAACGTCAATGCTTCCGCGTCCACGGACGTGCGTGGGAGGAGGTGGTGGGGGGTGGGGGGGCAACCTCGCGAACGGCAACTTGTCAACTTGTTGTCAATGAGTGAGACTGAATGAAAATATCGCAGTTCCTCTTCTTCGTCTTGTACTTGTTCCCGATGGCGCAAGAGAGGAGTTTCCCCCAGCATCCAGGGAGCCAATGGAGGCTCTCCCACCGTCTCACATGAGTTTCTCAGGACGGCTTTTTTTTTTTTAATGACCGATATTGATGTATGGTAATTTCTTGGCCGTGGATCACATGACACAATTACCTCAAGAATCGATCAAGATGTATAGCGAGCCCGCTCGCGGCTCTTTGCTCGCGTCGGGACTGGCGAGCCAAACGGGCTAAGTTGAAAGGACACAAGCCGCGGAGAAGAAGTCTCCTCCTCCGCTTTCTCCACCCGTCGCCGCAGACATGACGGACTACGACGAGCGCGCGTCCAACATGTATCTGCCCAGCTGCACTTACTACGTCTCCACACCCGATTTCACGTCCGTCTCCTCCTTTTTGCCGCAAAGCACCTCGTGCCAGGTGAATTTCCCCTACTCGGCCAACATCGGACAACCTGTTCGCGAGGTCTCCTTCAGGGATTACGGACTGGAGCACCCCAGCAAATGGCACTACCGGGGCAACTACGCGTCCTACTACTCCTCGGAGGAGATCATGCACCGGGATTTGATCCAGTCGTCCTTCAAAAGCGAGAACCTGTACGGCGGCGGCCACCACGCGGGCACCGGCTCGCCCTGCAACCTCTTCCCCGGCGTGGGACGCAACGGGGTCCTGCCGCAGGGCTTCGACCAGTTCTTCGACGGCTCCAACCCGGACAAGAACGCCGCCGAGCCGCCGCCGCCGCCGCCGCAGCCCAGGCAAAAAGCTGCCGAGGACGCGGCCGGGGACGCCAAAGTGGACCAGCGCGCCGGAGACACGGCGGCCAGCGTGGACGACGACTCGTCGTCCAACTGTGGCGACAAGAACAGCCAGCAGAGTGGGTTGTATAGCGCCCCTTTATTAGGGCAGAGTCCAGCGTGGACAATGGCGTGTCCTTCGCCGCGGCCGCGCGCGCTCGTGTGCGGCTTTATAAGCATGCAAAAGCGTTTTATATCCCAATAAGATGTTCTTTACGGCAGTAAAGGCATTTACAATGGGAAACTGTTACCATACGCGCGCTTGCCCTGCTGTACTCCGGTGGCAAGCCTGTTGTATCAGGAGCCCCACAAAAGAGCTTTATTTACATCTTTCCAGCCAGGTTTCTCTCTGGCAACATGAGCGTCACAAATAAACTGGCAACATCACCTTGAAAGGCAAGAAGTTTATCCCCCCCCCCCCACCACCAACAACCTATTTTTTAAATTTATTATACTGATTACAAAAGAAGAAATATTGTTACACGCCATGCGCGAATACAAGTGTCTAAAAGTAAATGTTTCCGTGCTATTTTTTAAAAAGACTCATTTAAATGCAGCTTTCGCCATTACGTTTGTATATCCGGAAACAATGTGTTTAAATTTATACCTCAAATGTTGCATTCCTGATTTACGACATAGGGGACGAATGAGATATAAGCTGACGTTACCACGCATATATGTGCGCAAAATAAGTGGAAAAAAATGTTTAAGTGCTATTTTCATGATTGAGTTGGAAAGGAATGGGTTGATAAAAGTGCACTTTTGTTCATCTCAGTAGTGCCGCATGGGCGCCTAAAAAGGAACAAGCAAACAAAAATAGTGCTGATTAATTTAAAAACCACCAGACGAATTACTGAAATACTGGATTTTAATTTTAAATATGACTGGTTACTTTACTATATTTAACGATTGTGTCAGTCTAAAACGCCTCATCGTCGAATTTGTTTTGCATGAACACGAATAACCATTTGGGATTTTTAGCGTCATTTCCTGTGGCGATAATTGGATGAGCGAGCGATGGTCAAATAAAGAGAGAAAGCCTCAGTGCCTGCTTTGGTCATGTTAAGTGTGCATCCTGCACCATATGCGTTTAACTTGAGACGGCGTAAATGGATTGTAGTTGAATTTGAAGAGATAAACTCATTACTGGGATAGGGAGTCGTTTTATTGAGTCGTGCCATTTGCACATGCTAACAAACATAGAATATATACATATATATGCACCTCGTGGTAATTTATGCATATGTTAATGCAAGTTACGTGGAATTCACTGGGAGTGGTTGAAAACCCCTCAAAAATTTCCGTGCACCTTTTGCTTGCGTTAGGCGGTCATTCAATAGCGTCACACGTCGGTGTATTTTCATGATTTTTTTTATTGCGCACGCGATATGTTGATATCAATGTTAGCTAACTCTTGCAAAGCAAGTGGTTTACTGATGCTAACCAATGGGGAACAGCCTGACTGAATTGTATTTGTTAAATATGCAAAAACAGTATCTTGGAGTTTGGAGATGGAAAACTAAAAGCTTGAACTACATGGAAATAGGGCATGTCTACGAGGACTGTATTGCGCAACAAAATACTGTGAAATGCACGTTCGGTGCACATATGTGAGTCATAGGCAAAAATAAGCGCAAAATGAATTCAAGCGCAATGCTGGATCACGCAAAAAGAAATCGCTGGGCGTTACTCGCGTATATTTTCTCACACGTTTCGAAAAAGGAATCTCTGTTTGATTTTGTTGCCTTCTTTCCAACTTTCCCAATTCCCCGTCTTGTCCGTTTGTGTCCAGCCTCGTCCAGCAAGTCACGGAAGAAAAGGTGTCCCTACTCCAAGTACCAGATCCGAGAACTTGAACGAGAGTTCTTCTTCAACGTCTACATCAATAAGGAGAAGCGCCTGCAGCTCTCCAGGATGCTCAACCTGTCCGACCGCCAAGTCAAGATCTGGTTCCAAAACAGACGAATGAAGGAGAAGAAGCTCAACCGCGACCGTCTACAGTACTTCACTGGCAACCCCCTCTTCTGATACACAGTAGAAATACACTAACAATACTATATATATATATATATTCGCCAAAGACTTGCTTCCTTCTGCATATGTCAGGCGCCATGTGTTCGAAAAGGCAGTGTGACGTCACGCCTCTACTTCAATTTTATTTATTAATTTCTCCTGGGCTGATCAACCAACTATTTTTTGGAACATTATTTATTCGTGCGTATGTCCATTTAAAGGATGCATGTCATGTGGTGTCTATGTGTCAAGCAAAAATGTAAAACTAAATAAATAACAGCTGACAGGGAAACTTTTTTTTTAAGCCTTGGGAGAAATGTGTCTCCTCACGCCTTTATTTCCCCTCCTTTCACACACTGGATTGTTTACTAAACCTTGAACCGTCTAGACACAATCATAAAAGCAGCTGTAAACTGCTAAATAAGGGGCTATTGGACATTCGAGGCCCCCACCCCCCTTAACCTCGCCTTCATCCAACTTCTCCACATGCAGACCTTCTTTTCCTGCCTCAAAGTACAGTTGCAAATGTCCAAGGAGCCGGAGACATCTTTTTTTGGGACAAATGTTGGACATTCAACATGAACCAACCTGGATGTGGACTTTTGGGTTTTCTCAATGGACGTGAGTGTGACTGCCTCATTCTCCTTAAATCCATGTGATCAGATGCGTTGATGTATTTTTAATTCGAATTGACCGGGGAAAGAAGGGGGGGGGCATTAAATAAATTTGACGAAGCGTTTAATTGCTTTGCCATCAAAATCCAGCAGTGAAATGACATTGGCGACTGTGTACGTCGTTTTGGAAAACGACCACAAGAGGGCAGCCTTGTAATTTCGAAGAGTGGGTTGAAGCAATCTACGAAACAAACTGGCTTAATGATTACGACACATGTCGGCTTTGCGGTTTATTTTCGGCTCAGTCCCACGGATGTGCGTGTATATATATATATATATATATATATATTTGTAGGTGTGTGACAGGAGTCATCTTGTAAGAGTGCCACAATACGCTTTCATCATTTGTCTGTCGATTGAATTTATTTGTACATTTTCAGACCGTATTAACACTGGGTAACTTATTTTTACATTCGTATGACATTTGACAATAGTTAAAGGCTACTGTGAAACTTTGCCTGTATAGTGGATGAAGTTTTACGATGGAATGGATTAATTATTTTATTTAATGTCAACATTTTCAAGCTTTATTTTGAGCATCAGTGGCGAGTTCATATGTAACAAAACACACCGATCAATAATCCATAAATAGTGTAATAATTATTCTCTCTGTATGTACAATCTTTTTTTTTTTTTTTTGAACTTGAACGCACAAATTTTCCCTATGCTGGGATTTCATGAGGATTCCTTATACAGATCCTCTAATTTAACGTCTCGGTGCAATCATTTAACGTCTCGGTGCAAATGTAACACCCACTAAAACTGTGCTCCACCCCGATTGTATTTTGCTTTAAGATATATTTAAAAAGTGTGCAATTATACTCACGCGTATTTTTTTTCAAGGGTTTGTCGTTGAGACATATTGTGTACATAATATGTGTGTATGGTGACGCATGTAAAAGGAAAATAAAAAACGACATTACAGTTCGGTGTTTCCCGTCATTGACGAAAACGGTCTAGAATTTCATAATCGATTTCAATGTTCAGAATGTCCTGAAAAAAAAGTAGGGCTTTGAACTACTTTCAAAATGTGGCAGGGACAAAATATTTTTAAAAATTGGTTGCTTAAAATGTTTTTCAGTAATAATTTTAACATGACTAAAAAAAAAAACAAAAAAAAACGATGTATTTTTGTCCCGCAACAATTTGCTTTATCTGCCACTTTTTACAAATTGCCATTTGTGCAGACAAAAACAACACCAGGAACAAAATAACCCAATTACACGTGCATGGAATAAATTATTTTCTGGGGAAAAGAAATTTCTTCATCCTTCCAGAAGTATTTAACAAGTTTTTCTTCTCTGTCATTTGCGCTGTACAGTATTGTGTGTCACGACAAAAAAAAAAAAAACGTGGAGCAAAATCTTGACATGCAATCGATTTTAAATGAAGTAACTCAATGGAGAACTGATCACAAAAAGATGGAAAATTCCGGAAAGTAATTACAGAATGTAATTGTACCCACGTGGTTGACCACAAAACATGACGTAAACATGAAATACATTGCTTATGTGGTCTCTGGATTGGAACGAGTGCTTTGAAGACGTGTCATAGCTTGAGGTGAAACCATTTTAAATCAAAAGTAGAAGCAAAACATTTGTATCATGAATCAGATATTGCTTATTGTACAAATCGATATATTGCTTGTGCTTGTGAAACAATACATGGGGAAAATCGTGTATTAAATTACGACGTTGAGGAAAACAAATTGCGATGAGATGATGTTCCAAATTTGTTGGTATATAAGGTGACCGTATTTTTTTTTTTCTCGTGAAAGGACAATGTTACACGCGCAGCCTCTGCTGCCAGGCCCCAACCACAACAACCCCCACCCCCACCACCTCAGCAGTGCTTCGTATGAACCAATTTCAAGTGTTGGTTCTAGGTGTCGCTGCAGACTGCGCCTTCGGGCTGAGCTGCAGTGCGTGTCAAGGCCACTTTCAAAGCTCATTGGTGGGCTCGTCATGTGGTCCGCGCGCACGCCGACTCACGGCGCAGATATGTCAGCTTCCAGAGGACGGCCAAAATGTCCTTCCCCACCAACTCCGCTGCGGCTAACCCCTTCCTAATGGACGCTTTCGCGTACACGCCGCCCGCGTCTGACTACGTGATGCAAACCTGTGGACTGCAGGTGCCGTCTTTGGCCAAAAGGGGCGAGCTGGGCCACCACGGCGGGGCCATGAGCGTCCCCTCGTACTTCGCTCACCAGTGGGGCGAACCGGGCAGGGCGTGCAGACTGGCAGAGGCGCCCGTCAGTCCCAACTGTACGTACGCGCAGGGCATCAAGGAGGAAGGCAACTGCTGCATGTTCACCGAGAAACGCCTGCAAACAGTCAGCCAGCAGCCAGACGGCCCCCTCCACGCGTACTCCCCCCTTGCGGCCGAACCGAACCGAGCCGACGCCCCCGAGGTTCCAGTTCCGGGCTATTTCAGACTCAGCCAAACGTACGCCGGCGCGAGGCAGCACTGCCCCCAGCAGCCGAGCCCGACGTTGATGCAGCTGGACCGGGTCGGACCGCAACCGCAGCCCGCAACAAAGGACGCCCCGCCGCGCAGCCCCGTGGCCGCGGCGAGCCCGGCGGAGCGCTGCACATCCAGTGTGGAGGAGGAGGAGGAGGAGGAGGAAGAAGAAGAAGAAGTAGAAGGAGAAGAGGAGGAGGAAGACAAGAGACAGTCGAGTCCCGAGCTGCTGGTGCCGCGGGATGGCAAAGGTGGGTTTGGCCTCCAGCGTCGTAAAAGCGAAAATAAAACACAAACAAGCCTCCGCAGTCATAATGTTTAATGAGAGGCTTTGGACGCCCGCGCGCTCTCGCTTCTCTTCCTACGTGCGCGCGTTCGCGATACGTTGCAGTGATACCCCCGATTGAACTTTTTATTTGCCAAATGTTAAGATTGTGGCCGCAATACTATAAGTGAACTTTTCTCCTATGCAAGTTAAAAAAGGGCGGGGGGGGGGTGTAAAGTATGCTTGGGCCTCCGGTTTTGTTGAAAGCGAAAATGACATTTAAATGATTTAGTGACAGTACATTTTAATTGCAAAGGGGCTTAGATATGGTGAAATAAACGCATTGAAATCATGCATGTACAGAGTAAGATGAGAATTATTAGCCCCGAAGGAACTATTCATTTTCCTCTCAAAAGGGCCCAAATGTTTGCAATATTCCTAAAATGTTACGCTGTAGAAACACATGTTCAGGGTTCCATTTGACACGAGAAGGGAAATAAATATTCAGTGTGAAAACATGAAAAACGTGGTGAAAACGGAGATGAACTGTGAAAATGAATAGCGTGGTGTGAATTTGTGCTTTCATAAATTCGAGCAGTGAAGTAATGATTCAATCAGTCCGGATCGATCTGAATTAAATTTAAGGGACTGTAGTCTAAAACTCCCAAATTTTGAGAAGAAATTATATAAAACTAAACTGTTCCAGATCCCCTCCAAAAAATATCAGTTAAAAGGCTAATAATTTTGTTCTTTTCATTTTTCCCCTCAATCAGTAAAAAAAAAACAGCAACATTGTATTTCGTGCCGATCTTTGCAAACACTCCAAATAAAGTGATTGTGACGTCATTGAAGACAATAAACCGTTTTATTGGATTTCGTAAAGCGTTCCAGTTTTGACCGGAACAATTAACGTAAGCTGTGGTCACGCAAAACCTATTTGAGTGTTTGAATGATGGGGGGGGGTGCATGCCATATACTTCCAATTTTTTTTCAGCCCTCTAGCGACTTTTCCTTTTAGTCACGCTGTTCCTGATATGAGCTGAGATTATAACATTAGCGACATCGTGTAATTTGACGTTGTACAATGTCACGAGACTGTCAGGAAATTGATCTTTTTTTTTTAACTTTCATTCTGTCTTGCTTCTTTTTTTTTTTCTTTTTTAATAACGCTTCACACTTGACTTTTACTGCAGTTTAGCCTTAGGAAATTAGCCCCAATTAGTTGAGACTGTAACTTGCAATGATAACACCCTCCAACGTACAACTTTTTTTTCCCACCCTTGACGCTTGCCACTTTTTGGCCTTAATTGAAGAGGTGTATTATTTTATACATAAAACAGCCTCCTACGTTCGTCGTGACGTTCATGATTTTTTTAAACTGTTCACGCTGGGCTATTAGCAGTATGTAGACAAAAAGGTTAGCTTTTATTTACCCTGAACATTGACTGCAGGTATCACTTTTTGGTTTGGGGGTATAGAAATAATTCCTAAAATAGCCCTACATTTTCCTTCCTCCACATTATTAATCTTGACATTTCTCCCCTTTTGGCTTTAGAAAAGTTACAAAAAAATTCAACAACAAACCTCACTATTTTTGAAACAGTTTCGAATCAAACCCTGTCATGCTAGCATCCTCAAATGATCAAACCTGTTTGCTAGCAGCCTAAAAGGAAGACCTTGGGATACCCTTGGCACTGGACATTTCATCACAAAACGGTATTCTTCTATTTTTGTCATTAATTTCGAATACTTGCAATGAAGTGGAATTAAATAATTTGGCATCATTTCAAGACCTAGACAAAGTACAAAACAATCCCCAAAGTGCTATTTTTAAATTTTATTATGCTTTGGAATGGCTTGGTACCCACCCATTAAGGTTCTATTTTTTTTTCCATCCGTGACTTTTACCACATTTTGGTCTGGGAAAATATACAAATAATCCTCAAAATAGATTTAACAAAATATTAGTTTGGATTACTTTTCATGTCTTGGCACCCTGAACTTTAGTACAGAGGTTTTATTTTTCCAGTCCTTTCAAGTGTTACAAAAATCGTTGAATGGATATATGGGTTTGAATTTCACCACTTTTGGCTTTGGATTTTTTTTTTAAAAATTAGTTGACATTGTAACATGCACGCCAATCGTACTACTTTTTTTTGTACTCCGCATCATGTGACTTTGAACACTTTTGGCCTTAGTGTAGAAGGGAGAGATGTGCCCCAGTTGTCACAAGTTTACCATGAGGCAACAAATTGGAGTTGTTTTCTGGATGTACGTTACATCTATTTTTATAAGAGTACATTCACTGTGGGTGTATTTAGAAGTACAGTATATTGCTTATCCCCATGGGTGGTATAGCCTCAATGTATTGACTTTTACAGTTTGGGAAACATATATGCATATATTTTTTGCCCCTGAAATATGAGATGGGTCAGAAAATTTCACAAACGATTTCCAGTCTTCTCAACCACACCTTCCTGCACTCCTGGAACTTGGAAGTATTCTTTCTTGTGCACTGAACTAAGCCAATGCCGTCAGATCTCTTTTGTGGACTTCCAAGTTGAGGGGAAAACCCAGAGTTTGTCAGATTTGAAAGGAATTGTTTGTGAGGAAGGTCCTGGATTTCATATATCCTTAAAACTGCTGGGTCAAAAAAAAAAAGAAAAAAAGAAAAAAATGGACCGACTTGCTACTTGTGTCAATTTGACCCAGTTTTTTAGGTATTTTCTGGAAGAAAAAATTAACCCGAGTAGTGGGTAGGTCCAATTTTTGACCAAAGTATTTTTTGTTTTCTTTTGTTTTTTGACCCAGGGGTTTTAAGAGCGGACTGTTTTTTTGTAGATTTAACTCATAAGCGTGGATAGTTTTTGCCCCTTGTTGTATTAAAATAGTGACACAATATATGACGTCAAATTATCAACCCAATGCAGTGGGTATATAACACAGCACTGGCTTTGAACTGGGTCCGCTATTTTACCCAACTTGGGTTAGTTTTGATCCAAATTTTAAGTTACTTTTGGACAAAATGACCTCAGTTTTTGTAACCCGTTTCCTGGTCTCTTTAACTCATCAGTATGAGTAATTGTTAACCCTTGTTGGATCTAAACCTTGACCCAATGGGGTGCGTCAAATCCTCAACCCACTGCACTGGGTGTAAATAACCCAGCATCTTTTGGTCCCATCACTGGGTTAGCTAGTCCACCCAATATGTCTTACTTTTAACCCAGCAGTTTTTTAAAACGTGTCTCTTTGGATGTGTGTGACATCATGTCTCAATCCTGATATGTTTTTGTTTTCCCAGATCACAATCCCAACACCCAAAGCGGCAGCTGGTTGACAGCCAAGAGCGGCCGGAAGAAGCGCTGTCCTTACACCAAGCATCAGACCTTAGAGCTGGAGAAGGAGTTCCTGTTCAACATGTACCTGAGCCGAGAGCGCCGGCTAGAGATCAGCAGGAGCGTCAACCTGAGCGACAGACAGGTCAAGATCTGGTTCCAGAATCGCCGGATGAAGCTCAAGAAGATGAACCGCGAAGGTCGAGTGCGGGAATTGAACTGCAATCTCACTTTCTCCTGAAGTGTCATGTGGATTCCCTGTAGTAGTATTGATGCATCACGTTAGCACTACACAGGTGCCTTGAGATATGAGATACGATACACTCAAATCATCTTTTCCTATTGAAATGAATAGAAATGCCATTAATCTGTTCCAGATTTTTTTCTTTGTTTTGAATAAGAAAAAACAGCACTCTATAAAATTGTACTTTAATAAAACATTGTGTACACTCATCAATGATAGACTACTTGGGGTTAATTTTACTCAACTTGCTAAATTGTTTCACACAAAACCACCCCCAAATTCATTTCGTATGGACCAACTCAAACATTTGGGTCATTTTGGGTAAAAAAAAAAAAAAAAAACACAAAAAAACCCACAATGTAGTGGATCAGTCCATTTAGAACAACAAAGCATTAAATGTTTTTTAAAAATCAAAACTTCATGCTAAAATGCAAATCAGCGCTTTTTGGTATGCCCCCTCTGACCACCAGGAGGCAGCATTGTATAAGACAGACACAAACGAAGAAGAATTGATTTTTTTTTTCTACTACCACTCAGTAAGTTGCCATAATATTCAATACTTTTCGTAGAATATATGTCTGTGAGTATTGTGATATACGGTATGTCTCGAGTGTTCTACCATCCTTTGTATTTCAACATGCTTCAAGGTTTGTAAAACCATGACTATTGATGCTCACTGTTAGCATATCGATGGCATTTTCTACTTATGTTAGCATTAAGCTAGTCGGGGGGTCGTTCCTAAGGCATCATAGTTTGCTTATTTGAAATACTAAGGAAATTCTCTTAGTTTTATGTTTAATTGGACAGTAAACTTCAATCGCAGTGGCAAAAACAGCTTGAAACCGCTTTTGTTTTTAATGGTCGCTATTTGCCAAACCGCTGCTTATTGTGAAGTGAACTGAATTGAGTTCAGGGCTTTTATATAATATTTGCACTCACGAGAGCCCCCCAAAAAAAAATTGTATCGGGAATAACTCTTCAAGCAAGTCACTCGTATCTCAAGGCACCTTCGTATTATCTTTACGACGTTCACTTTTGGTTTACTGTGGCAGTGGACGTTGCTTGGTGTTATTTCTCACACGATTTGGGTCCTACATTACTGGCCATTCAACGGTCACTTTATTAGGCACACTCACACAATCTTATGCAGCGTTTCACAACTTGTATTGAGCACATAGGCACATACTTATTTTACATTCGAAAAAAAAAACTGACAAAAATCTCAGAAAAAGGTGTCACTATACGTCACTGGCATAGATAGATACATTAATTGTATTATTAATTGTCATTTTTGGGACCAACAAAGTAAAACGGGATCATTCTGAACACCACTTCAAAAATAACCATACTATAGTGATTGAAGTAGTGTCCAATTACACTGTATCATACTCAGAGTTGTTTGTAATATTGTTTTGTGTGGAGTCCCTAGTAAAGTGGTCAGTGTGATGTAGATTTCTGCAGATAGGTGCCCACTGTCCGTGTATTTCTGTGTATGGTCGTGTTTGTGTGTGAAGCATGAGCTCAGCACAAAATGTGTTCCCACTGGCCTATAAATGGGCTCAAAAACAAGGTTCATGTATGCTTTATATGTGTTGCATGTGTGTGGCATGTACAATCTCTTGCAATAAAATGATCAACACTGCTTGTGTAGTTTGTTTTCTGTGTCGAAACTGAAATGATTCATTAAAAAAACACAGCTTAGTACTTATTAATATTACATTTTAAATTTTATACAATGGAAAAAGGGAGTTGTGCAAATATCAAATGAGGCTAAGAAGAATCATTTTTTAATTTTAGTGCTCACCTTTGGTTCAAGTCCAAAATGTTTTGTTTTTTTTTTTTTTGCAAAACAAAAATTAAAGCTACATTTAAATTGGAACATGCAGATGTGCTTCCTCAAGTCTTTTCTTTTTATTATAGATGACGTGTATAATCACACACACTCCATAAAACATTATTGATACACACATATATATTAGGTCAGTAGCGTCATTATTATTACTCTCTTAATATTTAATTCCCGCTTATTCTAACTCGGTGTAAAAAAAAACACGTTTCCAAGTCGATTAGGAACATTGGAGCCTGTTATTTGTTCATTTTTTATTTTTTTATTTTACAATGTGTTTTTACATCTATTTTATTAGGATTCTAGTAGTCTATAAAGCTTTTTTTTACTGAGAGTAACGGAACTAGCTTTCACGTGAGCGCGCGAGGCGTATGTGTTGTAGTTACTTAATTGTTCACACGTAATCGAGTCGTGTTTATATTTCTCCTATTCAAATTAGAGAGAGGGGGAAAAAAATAAAATACGAAAAAAAAGCAAAGGGGGGTGCATTAAGGTAGGCTTGATTTACTGGCAGTATTAGTAAATATGATCACGTGATCCGTGTAACCAATCCGTGCAGACGCAGGCAAGCAAAAAATACTATGATTGTTCATAGAGGGGAGCTTCCCCCTTAAGAGTGCGAGTCGTTTTATTTTGAGTGCTCGCATCAAAACAAAAAAATGTCTTCCAGCGGCGCCCTCGCCAGCTGCTACGCTGACGCCGTTCTCGGTCCGGACGCGGAGGACGTGTACGGCTCCCGCTTCATTCAGCCTCCCCCGCACACGATGGCCCCCACCAGGCCACCGGGCGCCGGGGAGCACCTCGCTGACTTCTCCTCCTGCAATTTCGCTCCCAAATCCACCGTCTTCCCCCCGTCGTGGCCGCCGGTTCATCCGCAGGGGCTCTACCACCACCCGTACGCGCACCAGTCCGACCCAAGATGCGTTGGGGCGCGACCCTGGATGGACCCGGTCCCCGACCTCGTCCCCCGCTTCGCCGGATTCCCCCCCGGCCGACGCGCGCCCTGTGCTCCGAAGCCGGAGCGTTCCCCGCCGAAGATCCGCGACGCCAAGCCGGGCCAGGAGCCTCGAAGTCGGCCTTTTGTCGAGGATGTCCCCGAAGGTCCGGAGAGGGCGCAGAGTGGAAGTGAACTTTCCAGCCACAGCGAGCCCAAAGAGGAGAAACAAGTTGACCCAAGTAAGTAGAAGCGCATGCATGCAAATCGCCCCCAGGGCTGATTTATAACTGTGTGAGCTGACTGCGTAAAACGGGATGTTTTACTGACCCATAAAAGTGTCCTGGAGCCCACTGCTACACCGCGGCCCAGTACGGACGGAACCCGCCCTGTTTTCTTTTTTTTTTTTTGAGTTATTACACAGGATTCTGCACTTTTTTGTGCGCGCATTGGGGGGTCAATCACAACACTCCCGAAATAGATGCTCGTAAGGAAACACCTGGATGGGAATGTAGGGTTCTCTTGTGTTTCCAAAAACAATCCTATTTATTTATTTATTTATTTATTTATTTTTTTGTGGCTCCCAATTTGTGCACGCAGGCAACCCGGCAGCGAACTGGATCCACGCACGCTCCAGTCGGAAGAAGCGCTGTCCCTACACCAAATATCAGACTCTAGAGCTGGAGAAGGAGTTCCTGTACAACATGTACCTGAGCCGGGACCGGCGCTACGAGGTGGCCCGCATCCTAAGCCTGAGCGAGAGGCAAGTCAAGATCTGGTTCCAGAACCGCAGGATGAAAATGAAGAAGATGAACCGAGAGAGAGGCGGAAAGGAGCAGCTATAGGATTGCACTCAGGACAAGTTTGGATTTTTATTTTGAAAAAAAAAAACACAATTTCTATGATTTGATTTCAAGGCACCCAAGAGACACTGTGGATCACGTTCCAGCGAAGCCATCATTTCTCACTTGATCTTTTTTTTTTTTTTTTTGCAATTGAATAAGATGACAAAA